AGCGAGCATCCTGTGTGGCAAGGAGAATTACGGGCTCCTTCGACCCAGACGACCTGCGCCCGACGTATCCTGGTAATATATATTCGAGAGCGCAACGTCGCGCGAGGCGCGCGCTCTGCTCGAGGGTCCACTCGAGTTACGCGAGAGCGGAGGAACTATTGAAAATTATGTGACCGCCTTATCGTGCGCGAGGAAGCTCTCACATTCACGTCTCGAGATCTCCGCGTCGCGTTAAGATCTTCGACGACTGAACTATACGCGAAAGCTCGCTTGTCTCCCGATCTTGTAATACATTCATGACGATACATCGAGTCTCTAGACTCTTTTATTATATATGTAGGAATCGAGAATTTATCGTCTTAAGTCCGTTTTTATTTCAAGTTGTTTTGACATATTGTTATTTCTCGTGTTGACGAATCGGTCGTGGCCGAAATTTATTGTGACTTGCGGATCTATTGTCTCGAGCCCGTATTTGTCTTGAGACAGTTTTTGTACTCTTATTTTGCCATGCGATGGATTAGATATGCGAATTTGAACACTCGATGTGTCGCTTCCTGATTGGCTCACGCGGGGCTTGACGATGATATAAAGCGTTTCTCCCGAGGTTCCGGGAGAAGAGCACCGAATTTCGCGAAGCCGTAGAGTACGTGGAACTGCGGATAAGTTATCTGAATATACCTATATTAAACCATTTCTCGTAATACTTTATTATTTTATCCGTGATTCCTACATAATTTTGGGGGCTCAGCCGGGATGGAACTGTGAGAGACAAGAACAAGCTGCAGTAATACCGAGTGCGATAACGTTGCCTGAGAGTGCTGAGTGCATTGGAGCGAAGGACAAGTTTGACTTTGAGTAAGTCGACGAGACGTAATGAGTCCTACGAAGAGTTCCTCTGGTTTAACGGTCCTGGTGCTTAAGGAGAAGCTGAGGACCTTGGGGCTAAGTACGACCGGAGCAAAAAGCGAATTAATTAGCCGATTATTGGAAGCGGATCCTGTGGGTGATTGGCTCGGCGAGCGAGAAAACAATGTGCAGAATAATATGTTGCACAGCGAAGAACAAGATGCATCCGTGGCATCCGCAGCATCCGGTGTGAGCGAGACGGAGATGACCCGGCGGGAGCTGGACATGCTCAGGAGAGAGAGAGAACTCCTAGGGCGAGAGCTCGCGTTGGCGCGGCGAGAGGCTGATCATCTTCGGGCAAGAGAGAGAGAGCGAGAGACCGAGCGTGGCCGAGAGGGTGAGAGATGGACGGAGACAATGGGAGCGACGGTGCGAGTCGGCATAACAGCGATTGCTGAATTGTTAGCACATTTTGACGGGGCCACCGACTCCTGGAGCGTCTGGGAGAAGCAGGTGCGTCTCCTCGCGACTACCTATGGGTTGCGAGATAATATGATTAAAATACTAATAGGCTCACGCCTCAAAGGTAAAGCGGCCGAATGGTTTCGTTCAAAACCGGAGCACATCGAGATATCGGCAGACGATCTTTTAGCGGAAATGAAGGACATGTTCGACCACCGCCCGAATAAAGTAGCACGCAGAAAAGAATTTGAGGGACGAATCTGGAGGAAAGACGAGGCCTTCAGCGCGTACCTCCACGATAAAATAATTCTGGCGAATAAGGTGCCAGTCGAAGAAAGCGATCTCGTTGATTACGTCATCGACGGAATAGCAGATTTGAATCTGCAAAACCAAGCGCGGATCCAGGGATTTGAGACGACTGCATCCTTGTTGCGGGCATTTGAGAGGGTGACCTTTCGGCCGAAGGGTCAAAAAGATGGTACGGCAACCCCGATGGGACAACCTGGCGGTGACGCGAGATCTCAGGGAGGAGCGAGGCAGCGGAGAGGCGACGGCGAGGCGCAGAAACCACGACGATGTTATAATTGCGGCGGACAAAATCACATCAGTGCGAATTGCCCGACAAAAGAAAGTGGAGTGAAGTGTTTTCGGTGCGGCGAGCGCGGGCACGTAGCGGCGAAGTGCACTGGAAAAACGAGCACTAAAGATAGTTGTGCGGTGAGCGAGTTCCGCGATAGAAAATATTATAAAGACGTGCGCATCGTTGATTGCGATATCCGAGCGATGATAGATACCGGTAGCGATATGTGCTTAATGCGTGCGGATTGCTATAGTCGATTGAACGTTCCGTTAAAAGAGAATAAAATCCATTTCCGCGGTATAGGATCGGACGGTAATGAGACGTTAGGCGAGTTCGAGGCCGACGTTCGTATAGATGATAACGTGTATTCAATGAAAATATGGGTAGTTTCCGATGAGCTCATGCGATATGATTTAATTATTGGAGCCGATTTTCTAAGAACTGTAGAGATTTTAATAAAGAATGAAATATTAGTTTTGAGGCCAAATTCGGATCAGGGATTGTCAAAGATACCTGAAGTGTTACAGATCGACTATGAGTATGAAGCGAATAAATTTGACATTGCGCACCGTGACGATAAAAATAGAGATACATTAGAAAATATGATACAAAATTATACGCCGAATAAAATACGCGATATAGATGTAAAAATGCGATTAATTCTTAAGGACGATGAACCTGTGTATCAGCGAGCGCGGAGATGTTCCGAACAGGAGAAGCCGATAATAAAAACACAGATAGGCGAGTGGATGTGTAAGGGTGTGGTGCGGCCGTCGGCGATAAAAACGGACGCGGTCACAAGATTTCCTGAGCCGAGGAACGTGAGGCAGGTTCAGAGTTTTCTAGGATTATCAGGTTATTTCCGTAGATTTATTAGCAGTTACAAACTCGAGGAGCTCGCAGTCATTAAAGCTTTGAAAAAATTTCGCGTGTATCTGATAGGCATTCCTTTTAAGATATTGACAGATTGTAAAGCGTTTAGTCTCACTATGAGCAAAAAAGATTTATGTGTGCGCGTGGCGAGGTGGGCTCTGCAATTGGAAGAATTTAATTATACGATTGAGCACCGCCCCGGGAAAGCGATGGCGCATGTTGACGCGCTAAGTCGAAATCCGTTGCCTGTGTGTATGTGGAATGAGTGCGAAGATAATATAATAACGCGAATTCGGAAAGCTCAATACGAAGACGTTCGTTTGCGAGAAATTATTGAGCTGGTGGAGGCGAAAAAGACTGATAACTTTGTAATGCGAGCAGGAATTTTATATAAATTAACTAGCGATGAAGAGCGAATGGTGATTCCCCGACCGATGCACACGCAAATTATCCGGTACGTACACGAAAAAGGTCATATGCCAGCGGGTAAAACTGAGCGTATAGTCGCGAAAGATTATTGGATTCCGGACTTAAAAGCGAAAGTCGAAAAAGTTGTTCGAAATTGCGTGTTGTGTATCCTAGCCGAAAGGAAGTATGGTAAGAAGGAAGGATTGTTGCATCCCATCGAGAAGGGAGAGACTCCTTTGGACACATTTCATCTTGATCACCTGGGACCGCTCCCTTCGACGCGGAAACAGTATCGATATATACTGGCGGTAATAGACGCGTTTACAAAGTTTGTATGGCTTTATCCTGTTAAGACGGCGAACACAGCGGAGGTGTTGGCGTGCTTAACAAAACAGTCGCATGTTTTTGGAAATCCGAGAAGACTTATTTCGGACCGCGGGTCCGCATTTACCTCCAACGATTTTCAGGAATATTGCAAGGCGGAGGGAATACAACATGTCCTTACCACAACGGGAATGCCCAGAGCCAACGGGCAAGTCGAACGGGTCAACCGGACGTTAATTCCGCTGTTGACAAAGCTGTCTGCCCCCCGACCAGAAGAGTGGCATAAATATTTAGATACAGTGCAGAAATATTTGAATGCCACGCAACATAGAAGCATTGGAACGACGCCCTTCAGGTTACTGTTCGGGACAGATATTAAGATGAAAGACGACGTCTCCATCCGAGAATTGGTGGAGAAAGAGCTAATTTCTATATTCGAAGAAAACCGTGACGAAATAAGGAGTCAAGCCAAGGAAATTATTCGACAGACACAGCAGGAGAATCGCCGAGGATTCAACAAGCGAAGGAAGCCGGCTATGCCTTACGTAGTGGGCGACCGGGTGGCTATCAAAAGAACGCAGGCTAACCCTGGGTTAAAATTGGCACACAAGTATTTGGGCCCGTATCGAGTTAAAAAGATATTGCGAAATGACCGCTACATCGTCGAGAAGGTGGGCGTACATGAAGGCCTTATGAGACATCCACTGCAGCTGAATACATGAAGCGTTGGATAAATGAAGAAGATGAAATAACGACCGATGACGAGGTTTCCGAGGAGAATATCTGAGGACAGATATTAACGCAGGATGGCCGAATGTAGGAATCGAGAATTTATCGTCTTAAGTCCGTTTTTATTTCAAGTTGTTTTGACATATTGTTATTTCTCGTGTTGACGAATCGGTCGTGGCCGAAATTTATTGTGACTTGCGGATCTATTGTCTCGAGCCCGTATTTGTCTTGAGACAGTTTTTGTACTCTTATTTTGCCATGCGATGGATTAGATATGCGAATTTGAACACTCGATGTGTCGCTTCCTGATTGGCTCACGCGGGGCTTGACGATGATATAAAGCGTTTCTCCCGAGGTTCCGGGAGAAGAGCACCGAATTTCGCGAAGCCGTAGAGTACGTGGAACTGCGGATAAGTTATCTGAATATACCTATATTAAACCATTTCTCGTAATACTTTATTATTTTATCCGTGATTCCTACATATAAAGTCCTGTTTTTTTTTTTTTTACAATTAGCTTTATTTTATTATATTTCTGTGAAGTCTATCTCAATCTTATACCTGATATATGCGGAATAAATCAAGTCCCCAGTCGAGGGATGTCAATTTATCACATGGCATTTTTACACTCAGCGTACAGAGGTCTAGATAGAAACGAAATGAAATTCCTCGCTGCCGACCGGTCATATACGGTCCGCGGAGATTTTACCTCCGAACGCGTACTATATACGCTCTGGCAGATGGTAATACGTCTTTTCCTTTTCCCTGGACTGTTGCAGATATCCAGGAGTTTTACGAGCTGACGCTGCTCGACGAGTCGAAATCGGTGCAGCAGAAGACGGCGGAGACGATCCGCATCGCGGATAAATGGGAAGCCAGCGACGGGCCAATCACGCCGACCTTCGCCCAGAATGACGTGAGTACGGTTATAAAGTTTATTCTGTCCCCCGTATTAACGTATCATTCGGTATCTTGAATTTAATATATACCGTCATGCTCGTTAATCAAAATGCGACGTTCTCCATAAATAGACGCGATTTAAATCGATAATCTTGCGATGACACGAGTTCAAGGATCAGAAAGCAATCTCCGATCTATGTTTGTCCGGAGAATAGCGCGATGGAAAAATCGCGATAGCGTCTAAGGATAATCTGTCACAACATGACATTCGCTAAAATCGTATCTCGGCCCAGCGGTACTATCGGGTAATTAGCCGGTAATTGTGATCGGCGAATCGATTGACCGTAAGATATCACGCCGGTCCAATCAATCGGTCAGGCCGCCAATTTTAATTGCTAATTGCGGACCGTCCACCCACAATCGACGTTGGATGCGAGGTTGCGACGTCATATCGACGGCAATGTCATAGTGACGAACAATCGACGTGACATTCAGTCGCTCTCCTGCGATTGCACTTGGTGTACCCCGATCACGTATACCTCGGCTCTTCCGGATTAATCTGACCGTTAGTGTAATTTCCATGAAAATATTCGTAATTGTTCGCAAAGAGATCGAGCAATAACAGCCATTATTTTATTCGCGGAGATTTTTTAGATTTATGCCGCGGTTTTTTTAATACTTATTGAAATTTGTACAATTAACTTATTGATCGAAAAACGTATATTGTATATTATTGTTTGAGAACGGGAAGCTCTTTATAATGAGGAAAGTGAACATTTCTATTATTAAGTACCACATTAAAAATGAAAATTTAATTTAAAGTATTAATATTTAAATATATTCGCGCAGTATATTTTATTAAACTTCTTTCTCTAGAGACATTTTTAATTAATGTATTTATATATACTTGCAAAAAGAATTTCTGTTTTCTTTCTTTTTATTTTTTTTTAGTTTGAAGATGTAATTACTTTGGTATGTAGTTGCTTATTAATGTAAATTACATACTTTTAATTCCTTCTTTAAAAATATAATCATATTATAAATGTACACGGACATAATTGAAAAAATATATTAAACATTGATAAATTTTGCTACCTAATTATTTAATATTATTTCTCAAAATAATTAATTTACTTTTCCATAATAAATCAAATATTGTATTGATGTATATCTAACAATCATATTTTTGATTTTTATTTTTAAATTGTAGCGGCGATTTCCGCTCAATTTATAACATGATTTTTAACGTAACCTGCATTTAAGAGAATATTTTATACAATTAATCAAAAGCAATTCAAAATTAAATTTCGCTCGAATAACATCGTGTAAAACATAAATAACACGAATTGACAGTATCAGCGCGATAAATATAAAAGAGAGAATTTCGGTATTCTTATCATCATTGTATTGCATCCACGCACTTCCGACTTGCTTTTGCGAACGCAACGTAGCACAAACGTGACAATGTGACATTTATATAGCGCATTCCACGCGCGTTTATTTCAACGCGTGGACGGATATCCCGTACATGCATGTGGGAAAAATGTCCCGTGAAATTCTTGTCTCCGTACAGGGAGAGCGTCGTAAACGAGCCGCGTATCATGCGCGACGTCGTATATAAAGCGGCGTTAAACGTTTCTAACACAACACACTTCGGATACGTGCATAGGAAACGTAGGATACTGCACGAACGAATGGATCTGCGACGTTCTCTATTTAACACAAATTTTCTCTCTGCGCGCGGATGCTACTGAGCAAAATTAAAAAAATTCAAATGCATCCCCTCGTTACTTTTTGATATTTAAATGAAATTAAAATTTAAATGAAAATTCCCTTGTTTTTATACATAATGAGAAAAAACAAAGCGATATATATATATGTGTGCGTGTGTGTATGTATATATATGAATTTACTTTCGTTGTCGTACATGGGCAAAGGCGGATTATACAGCGGATAACAATGTTTCGTGCTATCGAGCGAAGTATCACCCACATCTCTCTCTCTCTCTCTCTCTCTCTCCGTGTATCTAATAAGCTACGTGATAGGCGGAGTGTCGACACGCGTGCAGTATGTACACTTCCCTCATACTACTATATATGTATGTGTACGCGTTCTAATATGTAATACGTACCTGTACGATCAAGTAAACGTTATTGCATACATCGGTGCTTTGATTGGATTAACCCGTCGCGCGCGGCAGCTCTTCACGATGGAAAATCGAGATTGTGTTCTATTTTCATATATTTCACTTGTATCTTGCTCCTTCGGCGATCGATTAATCCTGTACGATTCAATTAACATTTATATTGCATCTTAAAGCCAAGGGAGAGTACGCTAAAAAAATTTGTTAAATCGACTAAACCTTTCAACTAAATTACTATTTTGTTAATTAAACACATATTAGTATTTAATATAATATACGTTTTGTTAAATTTAATATGTTACATTTAATTTAAATATTTTTATATTTTTAATTAACAAAATAATATTTAGTTGAAAGGTTTAGTCAAGTTAACAAATTTTTTTTCAGTGTACAAATTATTATACAAAATTATTTAATCTAGAAATTTGTAAAATCGAAAATGTGTTTTTAAAGTTGGAATTATATTTTTTGGAAATAATCCGCACGACTAGAATGTATTTTAAATTAATATATGTGAAACACTATTAATAACTGGAAACTAATATATATTAAAATTCGCTGCGGCTGCAGTAAATTTAATTCGCAAAAATTGCATTGTAATAAAAATCTAGTTACATTGCGCTTTTTATCATAGAATGAATGAGTTATATTGGATGAAATGAAACGCTAAATTAACCGCAATTATATCAAACTCAACTACGCAAAATACTTTTCGCGTAATCAGCGTCACATGTGTCATTTTGAACCAAACTTTTTTTCGCTTTGAACATTCGCTCAATTAGAAATATATTCGAAGAAAAGACAAAATAAAAAAAAAGCAAAGAAGATGGTTTATTTTATTTGTAATATAGCTTGTACCATTTTTATGTAATATTTGCGAAATAGCTTTTATTGGTTCTATATATGGAAATATTAAAATAAACTTGAATGTTTTTGCTGATGTCATTCATTAATATATTTTTATTAAATAATTTATATAAATTGTTTATTTTTAAATATAATAAAAATAGTACTATTATTTAAAAAAATATATATATATTATATAACATTTTTTCTCTATAAATATAACGTTACTACGTAATATTTTTCAAATCAATTAAATGCATGTTTGATCAAGCTTTAATTAAACATTGCGCGTAAAACAAAAACAATCCTTTTATATAATTTGAATTTGTGATAGCAGCTGGCTAACGCCATATAAAAATGTTAGCTAAATAATTGCAACTTTATCGATTTAATAAATATTTTATAACATTGCATGGTCTATTGACGCACCAATAATTAAAATTTATTGACTGTAAAATATCTAGCTGATTAAAAATAATTTTCCAATAAGATTGAAAAATATGTTATTCCAATTGTAATTATCACATGTAATCGGGGCGCTCGATGCTTTTTATACTAAATATTTGATACGTTTCGCACATTTGGTACATGTGATATTAATAATAATTCCTGTTGAAAACTGCAATAATATTTCTTTAATAATAATGGAGATACGTAAATATTTTCTTTCTACAACTAAGTTAAAAAAAGAGGAAATAACAAACAGAAACACAATAAAATCTTGCTTTTTGGAAAGTTTACGCAAACTCTCGACTTGAATTATATAACTTTAGACAGTTAGAACTTTGAAAAGTGTGGGAGAAAAAAGATGCGACAAGCATTTTTAAATTATTTTCAAAGAGAAAAGATAAATTTCTGTTTCCAACAAAAAAAATAGCAACGTGGAATTTCGCGATTAACCAAATACGATTACCATAAAAAAAACCATCTAATTGAAGAGCATTTAATTACCATTTGTATCGTTTTTCGAGATCGGAAAACGATAAATTATTGATGCAACACCGTCGCAACTACGCGTATATTGTTGCATCGTATCTATGTAACGTGACGTTTGTCCGAAACAACAGTTAACAACTTTTAATGGCGCATTAAACGTGGGTCATTACCGTCCCGCGAAACAATACCGTTATTCTTCGTAATAGTGATCGCTCTGCCATTTACCAACTGTCAAAACTTCGATACACATTGCTAATATCGGCTGCGCGTTTGCTCGTTGCTGGTTTTACAACTTTAAATTCAAGCCAATTCACGAGCATACTACATCGCTTCCTGAAAAAGCGCTTTTCAAACGTCCTAATTACAATTAATACACAGAGAGAATTTTCTCTTACAATTTATCTTGAAAATCAAGGAAGCTATTGAAAGAATTTTATTAGAGTTTCTCTGAATAATATTTATTACAAAAAATATTAATATTTATCACAATAAGATATAAAATGTTTGTATGTAGATTAAACATTAAATAAATCATTACCAGTCTGATCGACTTCTTCAGTTATTATTTATTATAAAATGTTTGATTAATATTAATATATACATAAGTATAAATTTTACTATGTACATAATAAAATAATAAAAACTCCAGAAATTTTCCAGAGTAAATTCTAAGAAAAAATTCTTTCCGTGTAGGGCAATATTGTGCAATGTAAGATTAAATGTTTCAGCTTAAGCCACTTTTATGTAATATAATGCAGGTTTTATATTAATTTTAAAAGATATAGAAAAAGTGAGAATTTCTCTCAATATATATAGATATGCCCGAAATTTTTTCTACGAGTAAAGAACACGCGAAAGAGATTAAGGACTTATATACTTAAAATTTACGCTACCTCATAGTCTACGTGATACACAGAAACGTTTAAGAAATACACGTTTTACCACGTCCCGCGAATATCCGCAAATCCGGTTTTAAGAAGCGTGCCAGGCACGGAATATTGCCGTATTGTAAACGGACGATATTTTCCCTGTTTGTTTTCCATTACTTCGCGAGAGATAGTCGTCGCCGCCGTCGGTGGTAGAATATGCAC